CCCACTCCACCTCACAAAGGACTGCAACGCTGGTTCAATACTCCTCTTAAACCGTCAAATATCATTAACAGATTCCTACTCAGGTGTGGAGAAAAGGATTCTTCTGGTGGGACAAACCAAAAGCAAAGGAAGAGAAAAAAAACTCCACCAATACAAATCTAAACTGACATCCTCTGTGGGCAAACAGAAATCCTTTACAGGAAGAGCTGCAGAGGTCCCTCACTCTCTCTCCTCAAAACAACACCACATAACCAGTTTCTGTGAGTCATGGCCTACTTCCATTACTGTTACCTCTTCTGTTCTTCTTACACTGCTGGTTTGATACACTGGAGCTATGAAGAAAATCTCAATTCATTGTTTTCTCCGGGGATTATTGGTGCACTGAATATAGTTTAGAAGGTAAATATTTCTCCGACATTAGCAGGGGACCTAGTCAAGGAGAAGGGAGGAATATCAAGGGGCCCTGAGAAAGAACAGACTCCTCAGGAAAACAAGGTGAAGCTACTGTATGCTAAATCTGATGCATCGGGAGGGCTGATTCAGATTTACACAGCACAGTTCTCCTGGCGTAATAATTCACAATAAGAATAGTATTGCATGCTATAGAGCATTTTGAAACAAAATAACAAATAGCCTATCAATCAAATTCATCTTTGTATTTGTTCATCGTGTGTTTTGTCTCTTTTTATGAAAATTAATAACTTTCATTAATGAGTCTCTATTATGCTCGCGATCAAATATATTGTACGTGATAAGGGGGCCGGACATCTCTAAGCGGTTGACCAATCACAATAAAGCCGGCCAGCTAACCAATCACAGCAGACTGGGCTCTGGTTTCAGACAGAGGGTGAAAAGAGGTGCTGCAGTACAGGCAGTATGAGAAAGGTAAAGACCACTTTGGACATTAAAGCATGTCACTGTATAGAAACTAAATACAAATATGAAACTGAAAATAAGCATAATAGGGCCCCTTTAACTTGATATCCTTTCCTTCGATAGGAAGGTGATTTAAATATCACAATTACTGTCAATATATATTTCAACATCCATAAATCAGAGTGACAGGAACAGCGTGATAACTTTTCAGGTGATCCTTCAATACTGTCAATGCATGCAGACTTTCACCACCTCTTAAAATATCTGCTGCCTAAAAATAATGGTTTATAAATAAACTCTGACCATAAGTTACAAAACATAATTGTTCTTATTTCATTTATTCATTGGAGTGTGGTAATTATTAAAAGAAAAGAAATGAACTGAAAATGTTATTTTTTTCTTTTTGCAAAGGAGAAGTAATTCCTTACTTTGCGGGTGTAATTAAAAAGTGGCGTAATGGATCACAGCGTGGTGAATATGTAATATAAGAACTATTACTCCAGAAATTAGAATAATCCTAAACTGGTTAGGCAATGTCACTGTTCACACTGATCGGGCATATGTGATTTATGTTGCATGATCACATTAAGAGGGTTGATTTCTGCAGAATATGACAATCAAGACCATGATTAATTAAATCAGATATGAGCAGATATATTAAATTGTCTTAATTAAATCCATGACTATGAGAAGCAACCGTATGTTGGTGCATGTAGGCCTATCTGTCTTTTTAAAAATGGATGGAAATTCTTCAAAGCTGTCATGACAGTAAATTGGCGTACTTAGCACATAACAACCTCATTATTCAAAATGTATTCCAAAAAAACCTTTTGAAATTGGTTTTGATTAACACAACAGAGTACAAAGACATGTAAGTGTTCAAACAAGTCACTTCTTAGAGCCCCGGGGGGGGGGGGGGAGTTTTTGGTAAGCACATTTTCTTTTAGGTAAGTATGTCAACGCGGGTGGACTCATACTGAGAGTAATCCAGTACAGCTGTTCCATCTCCCCCTTATCTGCAGCGTGTCAGAATAATTTATCCGAGATATCTAAGTGTCGAACTAGACTTTTTAATCTCCATTTGAAAAGCACAAATAACCGCTCTTCTGATGGCTCTCCTCATAACACTGTACGCACTGGAAAGTTATTAACATAAGAAAGCCTCGCACCAGTCTGATTAGCATTTCATTCTCACATTAACCAGCTAATGAATACACACATTTAGCCAATCTACATTCACCAGTTAATACCCACATGTGCTCTTTCCCCCCAACAGACTGCAACAAACATGTTTGCATTCTTGGAATGATCCAAGGCACTAAACATTAAGCAGTGAACCCTGTTAGAAGATAATAAATAAAGTCAACGTCTACATACAAAGCAGGAAGATATAGCTTTGTGGCAATTGTGGTAGTTGTAATAGAAATGTTGCTCAATAGATGGAAGATCAATAATCAGGGGTGCACATAAGTGGTACGCAGGTACGCATGCGCGGCAACAATCTGAAATGCGTACCGTCACTTTTGTCACAAAGCGCATTTGCGTACCGACGTACTTGTGAAGCTTTTCCTGAAGTTAGATCACCGGACGACAGAGTCGGTTTCCGTGTGCACAGACAGGGCTGCTGTTAACGTCGGTCTGTACAGCTGACATTCGCGATACAGAGGGCTTCATGGGAATTTTGAGGGGAGCCAGAAGTTGGAGTACCAAACACTGACTCCAGGTACTCATCTGAGTACCTCACTGAGAAAGTTGTGTGCACCCCTGTCAATAATGCAATATGCGCATGCAATTAACTCAAACATGTCATGCTACAACTTTGTTGCTGACTCACATAAAGATGTATTTTCAAGATAAGTCTATCAGAGAGAACATATTTTACTATAATTGATGGGTTTTTGGATACACTGAGTGTGTGGCTAGTGAGTGACATGCACAGCAAACGGCCTACAGCAATTATTCCTGATCAAACAACCAAAGCATGCCTTCCAGTCGTCCAACAATAACTGAAAATGGGTGAGGAACAGCAGAAAGAAACCAAAGATATTTCTTTGGGTAATATATATGGATATTTTTCTCTTATACAGGAAATATGTTGTCCAAAAACAGGTACTTTGTCATTATCGTGTGAGATTTCCTGTATTTATACATATCCAAATATATATAGGAAAAAAATGCTTTGTAATGTCAGTTGTTTCCATTTTAGGCCTTTGCAGCCCTTAACACAAGTATGGGAAGCTGCAATTTTAGTGTTGAAAAAGAGGAGGATCAGAAGTAAGATTTTTAGAAAGTTAGAAAGCAATCGACGTTATGCACATGGTGTTGTAAAAATGAAAGGCAACAATTCAGTAGAATACCTACAATGATGATGCAATAAAAATAAAAACCTGAACCTGTCTCTGGGCTCTGGGACGTTTATTTGATCTCTACTGGTTTTCGCGGCCAAGTTATTCATGCTGTGGCTCTGGATTGTGGAGGGTGCCCATTATTTTGTCCAGCTCTATATACATACATACTGTTATGGTGGGCACTGAATGCTGCTGAATTGAATGTTCTTTGAACTGCTGGCAGACTGCTTTCTGTTTGACATTCAGCAGGTGACTGTCAGCAGCACGGACAGCTCTGTGCTACGGAGAGTCCACAAAAGGGGAAATAAGTTGAGGCGATGCAACACATGGGGCATTATTAAAACTGTTGTTATTGTACCTGGGATGAATTTGAGTATGGCAGTCTCATACTTGCATACAAACAAACCTTCAACACACGACAAAAAGCATATTTTTCTCTTTCTGTCTACGCCTTTATCTGTGAGACAGACCATTGCAACGCCAAGGCCAAATCACATCCAAAGGTAAGAAGCAAATTCACTTGGGAGATTAGGTCCAATCTCCAGAAATGGAAAATAAAGAACCCGAGCTAAAATGGACTCCTTTGCTCAGAGAGGTGTATGCGGGAATTGGGTATGAGACAAGAAGAAGAAAGGCCTGTCCTCTCGCACTCCCAGATGTAAGGATTCTGTCAGAAAAGCGGTAGTCACAGGATAAAGGACATGCCATGCCTTTGATCAGGAGAGGAGAGCTACGCACGCAGGTGAGTGAGGTAAAATGGAGGGAGGTATCTAAATATCTATCAGACTCGAGCAGCTTATTAAAGGTACCCAACTGTGCATTAAAGGAAAAACCCGACAGAATTCGGACTATTTTTGCTCCCTCTAAAAAAACCTCCACACGCCCCATCGCAAGAATGTGGCCCAATCAGGCGTGCAATTACAATCTAGAACATGCTGTGCAATGTAACAGCAGCAGGCAATTCAATTGAAAACTGCACACACTGTTTCCCGCACACCGTGCAGCTCAATTACAAAGCAAATAATTTCGATTCCTTGTTTTTGTTTTCCTGGTTGTTCTTTTTTTGGGAGTCTAACTTTTCGGAGGGAGAACAACAAAACTTGAGCAACTGATACAACACTGGTTTCATCTCTCCTGCAAGAATTGGAGAGGTTGTCTGACTGTGGCGGTGCTACACATCAAATCCCTGGGACTAGAGCGTGAATGAGAAGAGGATTAGAGGGGTAATGCTGGCAGATGAGAGGGAGCGAGGGTCGCAGTGGTTTGCCACTCTGCAAGGATTAGCTCTGAAAACGAGTTCACAGTCACAAACTCTGTCAATCAAGGATACCTAACCAGTTCACAAAGGCCCTTCAACGTAAACAGAGGGAAAACAATCTCCCCCCTGCTACAAATGAGCTTGTAATGTCTGATCACAAGAAATATGTCATGCATATCATAATAAATTGGTAGAATATTTCGAAATGTAAAAAAAAAAAATCATCATTGTTGGTATGTGTCTGGATGTATGATAATAAGGCACACCTGTGGAATGAGCTGCAGCTACACTGAGCCCTGTATGGATATGATGGAGGCCTGTAAAGGGCCACTGATGAAGGGCCAGATGGCAGCACAAACACATATGGAATATGTGCAGCAGGGCCATTTAAAATAGGGCATCATCCTCACAATGCAAATAATTCCTGGGGCGCGGGAAGGAACGTGAGGGGGGAGGGGGGGGGGGGGTGTTGCACAGCATCACTTAAGTGCGGATTAATGTAGGAATATTCTACACACCTCGTTTGTCCTGAATCTTAACAGTGAGCTCCAGAACAGGCTCTGTCTCCCTATCCAGCCTGCTGCTGATCGTGATATCTCCACTGTCTCGCCCCACGGCCACCGGGGAGCTCTCTGACTCCGGGAAAACCAACTCGTAGGCGGCTGACGGAAACCTGCTGGGGCTCAGGCTCGTTATGACCGAGCCGACGCTGGCGTCTTCCGACACGTTGAGGGAAACCACCGTGCCCGGGTCAAGCAAAGCCCTCGGCCACCGTGCCCCCCTTCCTGACCCCGTTAATTCAGCAGGACGCGTGGCCCACCTATGTGGAGATATAGTAACCAAAACACCTTTACTGGTCAGAGGGGGCCACCCGTGGTCTCTGGCGAAAACATAGAATTTGACTTTAGAGGGGAGCCCCAGGATTGAGTCAACCAGCAAAACTTCCCCTGTTTTCGGGACAACATAGAAACTGCCATTGTTGGGCACGGACATGTATGTTAACTCTGCGTTGTTGCCGCTGTCTGCGTCCACAGCCTGGAGCCTGTAAACCACACTACGGAGAGCAGTGGTGTCGTCTAAAGTTATGTGCACGGTGTCTGCACTGCGAAAAGTCGGTTCGTGATCGTTTGTGTCCAAAACGTCCACTTTTACCGTGGCAACCAGGGAGACGACAGACTCCGAGACGCACGTCTGGCAACAAACCCCGACGCTCAGCAGGTATTCTGAGCGAGCCTCTCTGTCTAAAACCCGGGAAGTTTTTAGCAATATATTCCCCCGCTTGTGGTGGGCAAAGGCGCGGAAATCTTCGCTGCCGTTGCCGTACAGTTTGAAGTGCATCCCGGAGACTGGGCACCATTTTTGCGCGTTGATGCGCCTCACCGGAATGCTCAGTCCGTTCACTTTGGAAGCAGTCGGGGAGTTCTCAAAAACATGCCCGTGAAAGAAAGGCAGCCGCTCCTGCGTTTGAAATCCAGCAGCCGGTTTTAGAAGGCAGCATAAAAAGATACCCCAAATCATGTTGGTGGCAAGTTATGTACCTCCAAGCGACAGAGAGGGGTTAACAAAGAAAGCATTACAAAAGATAAGAGAAACACTTGAGAAACATATCCGTCATAGTTATCCTCATTATGATCCTTCCCGGATAGCCCTCTCAACTTAGAGCCCTTTCATCCTGAGAGATCCGTCTCTGGGCTCCATGCAGCTCGGCCGCGTGCAGGCAGTCCTCGCGCTGCAGGCAGTGGGGCTTGTGTTCGGATCCAGCGATCAGCACCAGAGCACCGGACAGCGCCAAGCGCGGGGGCGTGGCGGCGCACAGTGGACGGAGCTCCTCGGTGAACCCCACCCTGTGAGCTGGTCAGGAGGGTCCCTGCCTCAAAGCTGTTCGCGCCCGGTTGAGCCTGCAGTGCACGCACGCAGCAGGAGCATCCCCAGCTGTATGACACAAATCCGCTCTCAGCTTGGAGTGTTGATAGAGTGAAAATCACTCATCCTTCCTGTCAGGGAAAGCCGAGTAAACACACATCCCTCCTTTTAACACTGTCCAAAAACTAATACTGGCTCCAGTGAAGCAGTTGGGGCTGCCTTGCTCAAGAACACTTTGACAGCTGTTGTTGAAAGAGGAATCACTCATGCACTGCACTCATCTTCCTCCTGTCTGTCTGACAAACTGATTCCATGACCTGAATTCCCCTTTGAACTGGAGGATGAAGCTTCTTCAATGCACTGCATTCCTGCAAAACAGATCTGCACACAATATTTACAGCTTGAAGAAAAAAAACAGGGTAATGCATCAATATAAATGATATTGCTGTTGCGTCAGAATAAGACAGCCAATGATGCACAGCTTCTTACGTCTTTGCAAACCAAAGTTCACAGAAACATCTTCACCCTGATTGCTCTCCCCTCCGTCTGCCTGTCTAGAACCAAGAGCACTCTAAACCTAATCTGTAGGTGTCTGCTGCTAATTTCCGCCAACTGCACACTTCTAATTCCCCTCACTTCTCTGACAAGTCAGGAGACTAAATATTACATTGACAGTAAGGCTCTGAATCGTCAAAAAGAAAAATAATGGGTAAGAGAGCACGGCTGCACACCCTTTCGAGTTTGTCTCCCATGTCATGTCAACCTTTGCGTTAAGACCGGCATGGATCAATATTCATATGCAATGAGGGATGTGGTGTTATGCTGGACAAGTAATTCAATGCCATTCCTCCGCTCACACACATAGGCTACATCTGTATTCAGTTTGGAAACTCATCAAAGCTCCCACTGAAGGATCCTTATCCATTTGTAACCACAATCCATCACTGCAATTTTAGCCCAATCCACCCTCTGCAGTAAACTGTTATTTTCAGGCAATAACTCCGGTAACTGTCGGTGTGAGCCCCGAGACAATTTTGAATCACAGCCTGCAGCTGGAGCACAAAGCTCATATTGGTTGATCGCTGTTTTCTTTCACGCGGTGCAAGCTGTGGGCTGTGTCGCCACAGCACATGAGCCATCCCACGCTCGCTGGTGTCTGACCCGGGGAGGGAAGGCATTTCAAAAATATGTGCAACAAAATAGCCTCAGAGCAAACTGTGACAGGGAGCCTAGTGACGGGAAATGACCGCTTGTAACATTTAGAGGTGAAATTGTGATATGTAAAATAGACCCTGTGTGAACTGTCTGAGGCCTCAGCACTCTCAATTTTGCTCTGTGTAACTTCTCTTTGAACTTCGTAAGTGCTTCATGAATGCAAATCAAACCCTGTCTTTTATCATGTTGTCTCACATGGTAAAATTCACCGTGACTGCCAGCATGGGAGATAGCTGTAGCAAAGGCTAATTCGATCACAGGACCAGGCCAGAGTGAGAGGGATGGTTTACTTAAGGGTTGCAGCAGTTATCCTGTGAGATAAAACACCAACATACACCACATAAAAAACAACAAAGCTTTAATGAAATATATATTACAATATCATGAAACAGTCTCATCATCCCTCTTCGACAGATAAGTGAGAGCTGCAGGGCATTAAAGGGAGAAAATCTCAGTGAAGAGAGCAGCAGACGAACATTAGAAAGCTTCATGCTTACTTAATGAATAATTGACCGAATCCATTCCCCTCACTCCAACAGAGGCAGACCTAGCTTTTGAAGGCGAAGGTTGTAGCCTTGTAGCATTTAAAACATTCTACTGCTGCTTCTGTGCTCCTTAGAGACAGGGGATGATGGGATTTAAGGGGATGGAGGTCCCATAATGTACATTATTCTTCCTGGAAAAGCAGAGGGGGGGAAAATCTTCACAAACAAACAGGAAATGGGTGCAAATAATGTCTGGAGTACTTGGAACTAGCATCAGTTAATAGGAAATGTAAGTGTTTAAAAAGTATTTTCAAAAAGTGTTCTTGCCGAAAGTCAATTAAATAATTGGTCGCAAAAGGCAAGTTTATTAAAGCATGACGGGACAATTACGATGGGTGACTAAGCATCTCTGGTTGTTATGCGTCTGAGAACATTTAACGTGGACATTTACGGAAATCTTACCCCACATGTTCCCATTGAAGAGCTGCAAAGAGACATTTCTGGCAACAGCACGACAGGAGCAACAGCTCTATAGTAACATTCATCATCGCGTTCCTTTGTATACGAGCCCCTCAGGACATTTCCCCTCATCACTACCTGAAGGCAGAAAGCATTTAAAGGAGCTGGATAAATATAAAGACATTTCCCACATGTATTAGGTACGGCTAATTAGATTTGATCTGTGATCCCCTAAGGGCTCCTACCACCTACTGTAGTGCTTAAGGAGTGATGTAGAACAGTTTATTAATAGAGGTATTAATTATGGAACGACGTGTGCAACCTGGTTCAGAATTTGGGTTTTGAAAATGTCAGGTGTGAGAAAAACAGCAACAAAATCAAACCACCCAATTACCCAGCATATTTGAGCCTTTTCCTTAGAATGTCACATCTCATAAGAGCTGAGGTTTGTTCAATGACAGACTAAGGAAAACCAGAACAGCAAATAAAATGGCAGCCACTTTGTCTGAAAAAGCCAAAAATAATTTCATGATTAATGCATGGCCTGTTGTTTCGATAAAAAAAAAGAAGAAATGCGCAAACTTCAGGGCCAAATGTTGTCTGAGGAGTGCTTTTATTATATCTACATTCTGATTAGTGTAGTCCGGGGTTGCCCAAGTGATTAGCACACAAAGAAACATTCATTGATTTGAACACTATCTCATTCTTAGCCTCCGATAATCACGGCTTCCTAATAGCACATTAAAAGATTCCTCACATCATCAAAAGGCATGGAAAAAGAGAAGAAAATGAAAATTAGCAGAGCTTGTTGTCCGTCCCGCTCTACCCAACTAAGAGGTGAGATTGTTTTGGCAGTGATGATGTTCTCTTTGAAACACAGTTAAGAGAGTGAGAACATAGACTCGGATTCAAACCAAACTCCTAAATTCTTTTCTCAGTTAATTATCCAAGCAAGCCCCAGCCAAATTCCATTACTTGGCCAGTTCAAGGCTAATAGTGTAAATTCAATGATGAGCTATTTATGAGGCTGGGGGGATTATGATGTTGAGTCTTCCTATGCCAGGCAGATTTATTCATTCCTTCACTTGTGATGGTCCTGCTATATATTTACTCATGGGACCAAAACAAGAACCATCCAGCCCTCATTATAGATAGCCCACTGGATCCAACTGTCTGATTTTGTTATAATGTAGTCCTATTCAGACCTTCTCAGCCTCCAATTTTATTTTTATATCAGCGAGCTCTATCAGGGATGACTCACAGGGATTAAAATAGGGCACCAATATTCATATATCTTGAAAACGCCTCATTCCTCCACTTATACTCTATTGTTGTTTGTCCAAGGTTTACTGTTATCATGCTTCTTAAGAGTTATTTTAAATTGACTTCATGCACATATTACACACAGTAGTGCACTCCAATATAAGTCGGTTATCCAGAAAACGACCCGTTGTTTATCATCACTGTTGTCCATGGGGGTAAAAAGCTTTGCACAGTCAATTTATAAGTTGTTTTCCCAGGACCAATCATTTAAAGAATAATACATTCCAGGGAATATGCATTTTAAATAGCCTGCTTCCAGTGGTGTAAAGTAACTATTTACTCAAGCACTGCACTTAAGTACAATTTTGAGGGACTTGTACTTTACTTGAGTATTTCAATGTTGTGTCTGCCTTATTCTACCCCACTACAATTCAGAAGTAAATAGTGTACTTTTACTAGATTACACGTATTTAATACCTTTAGTTACTTTACAGATTTGGATTAATGATGTCAAATAAAATCTACACTTAAAGACTTTAGTTACACCTGGAGTACAATTCACAGTCTACCCTGCATTATACTAAGGAAATGTAAATTAGCTCCACCTTTACCACCTTTGATAAACACTTTAAGGCATCAATAATTATAATCAAAACATATAACATATATTATTCTGAAATGGGCAGATCTGCATAATGAGTACTCCTACTTATGGCACTTTAAGTATATTTTGATGCTAATACTTTTGTTCTTTTACTTGAATAACATTTTGAATGTTCACTTATAAAAGAGTATTTCTTCTCTCTGGTACCTACTTAAATACAAGAACTGAGTACTTCTTCCACCTTTTCCCCCCTTCTACCTATAATGTGGACTAGCCTATACTGTTGAACAATATCATCTCTGGGACAGTTTACGTACAATGTTTATTTTTGCAGTTGACCTCATTAATGTGAAGAGGTAGCCTGCAGTTTTGGCCATGTTTGTTGTGCTTTTGAAACAAGAGTAGGCTATGCTAGCTTGTTGGTGCATATGGTGTAACATGAATGTGGTTTGTTCTGGAGGCTGTGAACTGTGAGACGTGCTTACCGTCTTTCTTTCTTTCTTCTTCATCCCATTTATCGCTCATCTCTCCTGCCAGCCAAATGGCTCTACTGAGACTGTGGCCGTTTCTCAATCTCGAGGATACTGGCTTCCAAGCCAATATTTCAAGAATGCTACGTCATCGAGTGC